AGCTATTTCAACCTCTTTTCTTCCTGAATGTTTTATTCTTTATTTTCCTACAAATAATGGCTACTTTGCAAAAATTTGTACAAATCTTGCATTCCTTTTTTTTTATGTTTATTGCTAAATATATTTAGTACATGTCTTACAGCTGCTTTCCTCGTTAAATGTATGGTAAAAAGCAGATCTTATTACATATGCATATATATGTTTATAGAGTGATGATAAATCTTGTATTTAAAGTCCACATAGAATGTTTTCATGCTATTTGTTCATGATTACATGCTACTAACATAAGACGTCTCTTTACATTTTACAGATTGTATTGTACTGCAGGAGTAATGTATTTGTACTGATGTTGATGTCATTTGTGTATTATGAAATTGCATTACTGAGCACTGTAGTATATATTTTTCGTTTAATATCGAATGATCATTTGTTATTAGTATTAGTTGTTACCTTAGGAAGAGGTAGTGAAACTTTTTTCATGTTTCCAATATCATTTTCTCCTGTTATAGATGTTTATTGAATTCCCGTAGCTCAACTATTTCCGAATGTTTATAAAATATTTGTGAGAAAATGTCTCTTCTTGTAACCAGTTTCCAGCAAGTATTTTACTTTTATATTTGTATTGTGCTAACAATTTAAACCTTTAAAAATATGTCACGACAAAAAAATATAGTGCTATAAAACAACTTATTACAAAGGGACCAAGTGGCAATCCAAACTACAGTGTTTAACAGTCTTACCATCAATGGAGTAGTGTGAATCCATTCTCTTTTCTGTTACTACAATCGTGGACTGAAAGTTTGTTTCCTTGTGCTGCCCCCATTCCCATTGTAAGTAAACTGCTATAAAATGATTTAACTCCTTATCTGGGGTTCAACGGGCAATGCTCACTGCCTCCACTACTGATGACTGAGTGCTGTTAGCTCTCCTGACCAAATCCTTGCATCAGTTGATTACTCTCAACCAATGAGATAACCTGTGCACTTCTGGCTCACCAACATTAGTAGTAGAGGCAGGATGCTATTTGTAAAAAGTCAAACCTTTCTAAAATGGTTTGACAACGTACAGGGTAAGGGAAAAAAAGGTTGGGGATACCTGACAGTGTATCCAATAGGTGTAGTAAGATCAGAAAACAATTATTTCATATTTTGATGTCCAAATTAAAATATCTATAATATATGTTGTTAAGGTGATACCTTCATTGTATTACATTTCAGAGATTTAATTCATGTAATTTTTTATTCCTGTGTTAACAAACTTTCTCTAATATACAAAGTAATGTCTTTGATCAGGAGTAGCCATTGATTGATTCCCACCTATAGTTAAACGAAACATGTCTTAAAACTGGTAGAGCATCATGGGACGTATAGGTTAACTACATCTGTGAATATACCCTTGACGACCCCAATTTAAGACCAATGCTTGTGATTTCCTCAGTGCTGTATGCACTATATTTCTGTTTTAGGAATATTGTTTTAATAGATAGATTAAAAATATTGCTTTTTCTTCATAAATGTTGCAATTTACAATTGTATAAGCAAAACAATCAACATAATGACTCACAAATAATTATATATTTTTACTAAAATATTAAATCAGTCATATTTCTACTCTACCCCTCATTGTCATGGGATTAAAATGTCATACTTATTTAGTAAATGCAAGGCTCTGCTGATAGAATCGTAGTAGGAGAGTCCATCTCATCACACTCATTGTTATTAGATAATTTAAAAAGAGAAGAGTCGGGAGCTCTGCTGCCTGCTGCTTCTAGGTAGCAGATATATCTCCGATACTAAAAGTGAAATAAATCCCTATGGGGGTTCAATATCAAATCCCCTTTATGTCTCTACCCGCCATGCCTACACTAGGCATGTCTACTAAACAGCAAGCAGTCAGTGGCTGATCGCTGTCATAAAGTCTTGCGCCTCGGCAGCAATTTCAAACCAGTAAGAGTCATTTATGACAACATGCAGCCACAGCAACCCTAACTTGCTTGCAATGATTGAGAGTTTGAAAATGAAATTGGTTGTCAATATTTTGTTTTCAACAAAAATCTGTGTCTAAAATTCAGACGAACTGAACAAAATAATTGACGTGATGTTCAACAGGATAGTTTTTTATTTTGTGACGAAACTATTTGGACAAACTGAATTTTCTGTCCGTGCACAAGTCTAATGTATAATATTATATATACATTATATTATAAGGTATAATATTATGATAGATATCGCCCAGGCATGGAAACATTGTAAGGCATATACATTTAATTCATATGTTGGTTCTAAAATGTAAGTTGCTGTTTATTCTTGCAGATAATTCCTATGATTTATATCATGGTTTTCAGATACTAAAGATACAAACAGTTAATATATAATGCTTAAACGTAAGCAATTTGTCTTTTAGACCTTGTAATACTTAATGCATAAAAACTGTTATTTTAGCGTAATAACTAATACCAACTAGAGTGCAGTATTTGAATATACTATAATTTCATTTCTAGTAATCATCAGTAAGCAGTAAAAATGACCATCTATAGTTCCTGAGCAGTCACAGTTATACAAACTGCCTTAGACATGATGCATCAGAATGTACACATATACATCAGAGGGCAGATCCCAGGTTAAACACAGAAGTCATAAAGTCGGAAAGTTGATATAATGTTGTGATGGTTACACAGTAAATTCTCTTTTTCAGAAGTTCCATACAAATTGTCCATATAACAAGAAGATGAATTCAAACAAATATTTTCGATAGTCTTGTCAATAGGAACTTAAAAGAAAACTATTTAAAAGCCCAAAATACCTTCACTTTTTAGGTATGCAAAGGCTTTTTGGCAATTAGAGAGGAGAGGATATTAAGTTAAGATATTTAGTTTAAAAAAATTAGGTCAATCATTAATGAAGTGGATTTTTAATTTAAATACTATACAACCTTTTGGTCTAAATATAGATTTTGAAGTATGTAATTTTCTATAGAAATGTTTTAACTAAATATTTATTTTAAGATTTTTAGATTTTCAGACTTTTATTTGTTGTACCCTCTTATATATCCTTTTTTTGTATGTATATGTGAGTAATTGCATTATTTATATCTCCTTAGTATGTTGTGTATAAATCACTTTACATGCATTGATTTTCCCCTATATGTACATATATGTATCATGTACATTTTGTATAGGTATCCTTTAAATATGATTATCCCATTTTTTGCTTCCCACTTTTTTGAAAATAGATATTCAACTAAGATCATTTAAAAATAAAATGTGACACGTGATATATCAATATCAAGTTGAAGGTGGGTTGTCTTTATTACAGGTCTATTGTATTGTCGGTTGCGGCACACCACAACCGACTGGTGCTGTTGACTATTTTGTTAAACCATTCTTGCTTATAACTTCATTCATAATGGCAATATTGCCCTGAACACAAATATAATGTGATATATCAATATTCAGTTGGTATCAACTAAAATAAGATAAAATGTGTAAATCCACTCAATAACCTATGTACATATATTGTGGGGCCATCAATGCATTGTGTTATATAGTAAGATTAAATATAGACAATCTCTTTTTTGTTTTATTTTTCAACTTGTAGTATTCAAGGTCACACTGATGCATCCCTATGACAACAGATGTGCATGAGTATGATGTGGCTAACAATGCTTGGTGGCAACCAGAAGTGACTTACTGCTAATGCGGCACAACATCTTTTCCGGAAGCCAAGAGTAAGGGCAGCAAGAGATCAGATCCTACAGTGAACTGGATTGGCTGATCACGGTCACGTGATCCCGAACGTGCAATGTCATGCACATTTAAAAACAGGACACTTGGACAAGGAACTTACAGAATGAAGAAGCTTGAAAGTCTCCTTTGCAAAATAGACTTTATACTTGACTGCTCTGCATAGCTATTGTTTCATGGTTTGTTTTATATTTTTATTCCCATAATATATTTTAAGGCATCCATGCAGTCTGGTTACATCCAAATGATAATGCTGCATAGGAAGTGTCACCCTACTTTGACACAACACTCTGACACTTTAGAGCTAGGCACTCTTTTGGCTCTTAACACATTGAGCATATTTCATGTCATTTATTCATTTTTAAAGTAAAGTATATACTGCACCATAATTTATTTTTCCTTATGTTTCTGTGTTCTCTTGAGATTTATAAAGTAATAATCATAAGAAAGATGGGGTGCTGCCAGAAAAGTACAATTGCACAAAGATGTTAACCAATCATATATAGGCTCTAATATATATGAGTGTCATTTTATATCACATTTGGCACTTTTTTTGTTTCAGACTACACTGTTGTTTTTTTGTTTTTCTTTCTTTATTTTTTTATGTACATTTTGTGAGGTGTTCCCTTTAATAAGTTACAAAGGGTAAGCATCTATATTTAGTTCTCTAATTTGTCAGAACCCAGGTGTCGGATCGGATCAAGGAGGTATACCTACACAAGTGTTTGTTTTGAGTGGTTCTCTTATGTTAAATTCTTACTAAGTGCTTGGTTACACATAATATTCCCTGTTCTGGGAAGAATTTACATATACTTAAAATTATTGTTTGCTCGCAAAGAAATAAGTGACCGATTTTTTGCAAATGTGCATCCTGCCACATGCATTCGGTATCGAATTTTAGTTAAATTGGTGAGGATTCAAAACTACTGATTTTAACCCAGACACCAAATGCATCGGAGTAAATGTGCAGAGCTGCTTCGGCTGACCGAATTCTAACTGGAATTGGCTTTAGTAAATATGAGAATGGCCAGTGTGGTCAGATTTTGCTCATTTTTACTGGATTTTGTCCATGCAGACAAAATTGGATCTTTAGTGAATACCCCCATCTGTGTTATAAAAAATAACCTGTTTTGTTAAATTACAGTTTAGTTCACAAAGTGACATCGCAACATAAGTTGTACAAGAGATGCGCCTGTAAAGGTTTGTAGTATAGAGATGGTACATTATCAACTTCAGCTGCTTCCAATGAAAGTATACATTTCATTCCTACTACAATCAAATTGATTGGCATTGTTAGATAATATCTCTCCAGAGGGCCCAAGCACTGCAAACATGCTTCTTTCTTTCATGGGTGTCCTAGTATACCAAACCCTAGTCAGTTGGAACCATACCTTGTTCATAGTTTGCACAGCATCAGAGGGCCAGATTAACATATGGGCTTTTGGAGCAACAGCTGCATTCCTATAGATTGTTAGATTTGATATACGTCACACTTATAGTGCATAACTTCTATGACAATAAACAAATACACATATACATTGTGTTTTTTCAGTGTTCCTTCTTTTTATGTCTTGGAACATATTGGTTAGACCTCACAATTTTCAGATGCTACATTTTTGGAGACAACACAAGGCAACGATTTTAGTTGCAGCATTTTTGGAGGCAGTATGGATATGGGTTCCATACTTTGCAAACACAGCTAACATGCCATAATGTGCCTAAATATCAGTAACTTATATCAGAATTGATTTAGTATATGCATATTTTATAACTAAATAGATAGCAGCCATTATAGTTCTCTTGTTTTGTAATACATTATTCATATATAGAGTCATAACGTTTTCTAAGTGTTGTTTTATACATATATTTTAAGTGGCAATCTCCCATTCTTTGGTAAATAGAGTTTGAATTCGTTGTTTTTATTCTTTCTGATCAAAGAGTCAAAAAGTGTTCATCGTACAAAAGACACTGTGATATGAAATATTTATATACAGGGAATACTGTACAAAAAAGTCTGTTTTAATAAAGATAAACCTATCTCAAACTTACGTTTATTATCTTCTCCAGATAAACCTGGTATATTTCTTGTCTTGTGCAATTGCATACAATTTTCTAACATGTATTGTCTGAGCAAAAATGAAATACCCTCAAGAGATAGGCAACATCAAGGCTTCTGTGGTGACCTCTGTTCCTTCCTACAAAATACATTTCACATTTTCAAATTGGAAATTAGTTTTTTTTTAGGTTTCCGTCAAAGAAGTAAAGTAAGATGTTTAGAAAGGAATAATATTTCTGCATGAAAAAATGTCTTCATAAATTTGTTTATTGATCTCATGTATTACCTGTAACAGAGGCAAGATAAAGTATTTTTTTCCTTTCAATTGTGGTTTTCATTGATGTCCATGGCAACATAACTGCATTATGAATGACTAGAATCAATGGGAAGCAACCTTCGGCATTCCAGATGTTTTGGACTATGCCTCCCATTATGCTTCGGCAGCATTATGGTTGTAAGAGCATCATGGGAAATATGATCCACAACATCTGGACTGCAGAAGATAACCTACCCCTGGATTATATATATATGCAGCCAGTAACACTACGGGGAGGGTTGAATAGGACAATGTAAGAGCCTTTTAAATCAAAACACCCAATGCATCATCCAGAAATATTTTTTTCCCTACCAGCTAATGGACTTGAGGAGTCTGATTTGTTTTATGATTGAATATTTAAAAGGCAATGTCCTCAGCACACCGCAATAGGGTATGCCGGTGATTTTATTCAGTCTTTAAATACTTTAATGTGAACCGTTGACACACCTTGTTGGATGGCAGAATAAATAACCAATATACCACACTGACGTGTTGAGGGCTCTATTTTCTAAATATTGGAATATCAGTCAAGTGAACATGGTCCTTTACTAAAGCACAGGCACCAAAAACGTGGTGTTCTATCTCCTATTTGAATTGCTAATTATTTTGTTTGGTTACTGTGTATTGTTTTACAGTTTTCAAAGCTCTTTGCACAACTTCACAACACTAAAATGGTCAAAGTGCTTGGATAAATCCTTTTATTCTTAGAAGCTTAAAATGCAATTATTATATGAACAAATTGTATGTTAAGCACTATAATTAATGACCAGGAAACCACAATGCTAATATCACGTTTTTCCTTGTAATACAAGACATTTGGTTTCTTCCTGGAACTTAAGGAAGGGAGATCATGACTGCTGCCCATGGATGGGGGTGGGCCATTGAAGGATACTATGTTACAATCTGGGGGTACTTGATAAAAAGGGACAAGGTAGGAAGCGATTTACAAGACAGTGAAGACAAGTTGAGGGATACTGACTTTCTCCCTCCCTTCCTCCCATGAGCCAATAGAGGTGGTATTGTTTTGGTGGTGGGTGTCTCTTGTGTGTTCTTGTTTTGTCACAGCTTGCGGTTCTTCCTGGTCAGCATAGATACAAGGAATGGAAATGCCAAGATGGCTGGGGGAGTCACAGCCTGCCAAGAGTTGATGGCAGTAGGCAGGCTGCCCAGGACTCTTGGATAATAGACTAGAGCTGTCTGTTGGAGAAACACCCCAACAGCTGACAGAAGAAGTTTGCTGGCATGGTTATGTTGTTATTAAACTAAAGCTGTGGCCGTTGCTCTTACCCAACTTACTCATGTCTCATGTGTTTATTGGGCAATGGGGATAAATGGTTATGGTGGGTCAGCAGTCATGTTTATGTTAATCATACTTATCATAAGCAGTATCAAACAATTTATATGCTTTTATTCTCAAAAATGTTTAACTGGGGTAGTTATATAGCCAGTGCATATCTACATATAACTTTATATAACTTTATAACTTTATTTATATTAGGAAAACTTTCTTCCTTATGTAAGTAGATACTGATTTGTTTTATATGCCTCATCCACAGCAGAAAAGTGTATGCACCTATTTGTTGTTGTTTAAGTTAATGTGGGTCCCACATCCAATATTCCAATATTCCATTTTCCCATTGTACGCTTTTGCATCCTACTTCACCAGGTCAAGTGATTATGATAGATAGAAAGATAGAAAGAGAGATAGATAGATAGATAGATAGATAGATAGATAGATAGATCTCTATCTTAGAAGATTTAATATTATCCATATAATCACAGGTGACAGTATTACAAGATACTAATTGAATCTATTACACACACACACACACACACACACACAAGTATATACCTTTATGTATGATATATACTAACATGTTTGTACATAGTGTACAATGATCTGCTCATTGAAATAACAGATCAAAGAAATGTTTTTTAAGTGAGTAAATATCTATTCCTTCATATACATATTGTACAATGATCTGCTCATTGAAATAACAGATCAAAGAAATATAGTTTAAGTGAGTAAATATTTGTATTCCTTCATCAAATTTGGCATAATTTTTTTTCTTATCAAAACCTGTTAGCAATGTTCAGCTATAAACTTTGCTGTAATAATATTTTTACAATTATTTAACAAATGAATTCTTGATAATTTTGCTAAACATACTTTTAAATGTTCTCATGTGATAGTCTTGATTCCTGTGGCAAGCATTTTTTTCAATTGAACCATCTTCCATACTGGTCAACATTGGGAAGGTTGAACTTGGAAAAAGGCGAAGGACGTACTGAAGTGGGGACAGGGCAGCCAGTAATATGTGTAAATAGTTGCAGGTGGTTAGAATGAGGCTCTACCTGTGTAGATTGATGAAGTGCTCTTGTATTGACAAAAAACCTGACACAGCTACAAGCACATATACTGATTAGCTTGGACTGTGCCGTTCCATCACTTTCTTTTGTCCCCAGATGAGGTGCACTATACAAAAAAAAACCATGGATTGCAAGACAGCAGACTAAAACTGGCAATGTGTGTCGAGGACAGCTAGCGGTAATGCCCCTCTTCTGTTCTGTATTTCGCACCAATCAGTGGTATGAAAAAGTTGAAAAGAGTTAATAAAGATGAATTAAAACAAACTACTGACCTGTTTAAAACTGTGTTATGTTCTGTTTAGTGTATATGATAAAAGCTTGAGGAGTCTACTTCAAAAAAAGTATGGTCAACCAAATACTCTTTACGTTTGCAAACAGTAATTAGAAATGATCATAAACATTTTATTTAAAACTTTGAAATTCTCTCCCTACCACTCCCGAGTGATATCATCTCTTCATATTCTCCACAATTTCAGTTTCCATGGCAGTACTGGGATCTCTGTGGTACAATTAAGGCCTGCTACGGAAGAAGGTCAGTATTCGAAAACTAGTTATGTTCACAGATCATTTAGCACCTAATAAAACAGAAAGTAATTGAGGTAGCATTTAGGGCATAATTTCAAATTAACGTATTCTAAAGTCTAAAAGTTGTGGAATTAAAGATACAATAATGCAATAATAGATGTTTATGTGAGAACAAGCATTCAAATTGTATTTTAAGAGTATCATAAATTATGTGTTTATCAAGTTTTCAAGTTTTCAATTTGATATTCATTGAATGATATCAACCCTTCGTAGGTTGGTAAATTACATTGTATGTTTTTGGTGATTATAACAGCGATGATTTTGGAGTGGCTCCCATGCCTATACATTATATGTGTGTATTTTCAATTTACTTTTTTCAAAGTGAATATTTTATGGTGTTTTGTAAAGATACAAAGAAAGCATAGGCACATCAGGTAACCATACGGAAAGTACCGAGAAAATGTAGGGTACAGTGATAATTGCAAAACCACATGTGAAAGATCTGTAAAACAGAAGTCATGTTGAGGATGGAGGAACTATTTCACTTACACAATGTCTTGATAACTGAACAAAAATAATATAAAACAAGAGGAAAGGAGAAGAAAGAAATAAAAGGAAAATGGGGAGTAATAACAAGATAAGGAGTTATTACAATCATGTTCTTAGAACCCCACAATGTTAATATAATGAAGCAGAAAATACACAAAGCAACGCCAAAGCGGGAACTGAAAGACACAGTTGACTAAGGGCATAATAAGGGGTTTATTTGTGAAACTAAGGAAAGTTTAGGTTGTCTCAAGAACCAGGTCTCCCTTGCATCTCTACAAAAGCAACCACTAGAAGAATGTTTTCTGACCAAGGTTTCATATAAGCACGTTATTAAAATCTGGCTCAAAAATTTTACCAATGCAAGAATGGCTGAAGACTTCCAGCTGCTAATTGCAACTAAATTATGGAAAATAAGATATATAATAAACAATAATAAACTTAAACAATAATAAACTCTCTCCTATTGGGCAAAGAGATCTGTGGGCACAGTTTAATTACACTCCTCAGTATCATAGGTTAATAGTGCCATAATTAAGGGCAACTCCACCAAATATGTAACTTGGAATGCCACTCCAGCATATAGCTGATTTGGATTTGCATATCACATATAATCTGGTGGAATAATACATTTCTGAGGAGATCAATATGAGAGGAACAA